TCATGCCTGTCATCTCAGTACTTTGAGAGGTCAAGGCGGGGGTGGATCACTTGAAGTCAGTTCAAGACCAGCCTGGCCAACGGGGTGAAACCCTGTCTCTGCTAAAAATACAAAAATTGCCCAGGCGCCATGGCTCACACCTGTAATACTAGCACTTTGGGAGGCTGAGGCAGGTGGATCATGAGGTAGGCGGATCATGACGTCAGGAGTTTGAGACCAGCCTGGCCAACGTGGTGAAACCCTGTCTCTACTAAAGATACAAAAAATTAGCTGGGTGTGGTGGCACGTGCCCATAATCCCAACTACTTGGGAGGCTGAGGCAGGAGAATCACTTGAACCCAGGAGGTGGAGGTTGCTGTGAGGTGAGATCACACCGTTGCACTCCAGCCTGGGCGACAGGGCGAGACTGTGACTCAAAAAAAAAAAAAAAATCATGGAAGACAAAAGAACAAATTGGATGCAGACACAGCCATAGACCTGGAGGACAGTCCATGATTGTTAAAAGATAAAAGCAAGGTACTAACTTCTTTAAAACCAAAGGCCCCAAAGCCCTGATCATGCATGTTGCGATATGCTGGCCAGCACCTGCAGAAGGTGGGAAGAATACCACCACCCTGGTCACACTGGATGGAAAAAAGCATAGCAGCAAAATGGATAAATAGCTTTTACTTATTTGCTGAAATTGCAGAAAATTGTATGATGTTTTTGCAAATATAGAACAGGAACAGGAACAAGGACTGCATGGCATGAACAAGTTAAAAACAAACACGATTTGGGCCGGGAGCAGTGGCTCACACCTGTAATCCCAGCACTTTGGAAGGCTGAGGTGGGTCGATAACCTGAGGTCAGGAGTTCAATTCTGGCCAACATGGTGAAACCCTGTCTCTGCTAACACACAAAAAATTAGCCAGGTGTGGTGGCGGATGCCTGTAATTGCAGCTACTTGGGAGGCAGAAGTTGCAGTGAGCCAAGATTGTGCCACTGCACTCCAGCCTGGGTGACACAGCTAGACTCTGCTTCAAAAAAAACCAAACAAAAATGGTTTAGAAGCTGGGAATATGGGTAACTTTTTTGGGGGACATGTAACTCTTCTCTTGAAGCTTTTAGTATGATTTTTCTCAGACATGCAAAAAACAGATAATTTTTTTTTTGAGATGGAGTCTTGTTCTGTGATCTTGGCTCACTGCAACCTCTGCCTCCCAGGTTCAAGTGATTCTTCTGCCTCAGCCTCCTGAGTAGCCGGGACTATAGGCGAGTACTACCACGCTCAGCTAATTTTTGTATTTTTAGTAGACTTGGAGTTTCACCATGTTGGCCAGGATAGTTTCCATCTCTTGACCTCATGGTCCACCGGCCTCCGCCTCCCAAAGTGGTGGCATTACCGGCGTGAGTCACTGTGCACTGCCAAAACCAGATAACTGTTCCATAGAAAGTTGCGAACAGGCCGGGAGTAATCCCAGCACTGTGGGAGGCCAAGGTGGGTGAATCACGAGGTCAAGAAATGGAGACCATCCTGGCCAACATGGTGAAACCCTGTCTCTACTAAAAATACAAAAAATTAGCCGGGCATGGTGGCACATACCTGTAATCCCAGCTACTTGGGTGACTGAGGCAGGAGAATTGCTTGAACCCAGAGGTTGCGGTGAGCCAAGACTGCACCACTGCACTCCAGCCTGGGCAACAAGAGCAAAACTCTGTCTCAAAAAACAAAAAACAAAAAACAAAAAAAACAAAACAAAACAAAAAAAACGTTGCAAACGGCAGGAGACTTCTTGTTTTATTAAAGTGAGCTGTGGTCCGTCTGCATTTGGAGGTCTCAGCTTCCCCTGTGCCCAGGGACCCCTTCAGATCTAGGGTTCAGATTCCCACCTGGCCTGGTACATGGCAGGAAGGACTCCGGAGGGGAAGACGCTGTGCAACCAGTGAGGGTAGTAGGGCCCTGGCACTGCAGCCTCCCATTATGCAGGGCAGGGACTCAAATACCATGGCCTCTCAGCCTAGGCACTTCCTGTCCCTGGAACCTTGTCCACTCCTCAGCTGGGCGAGGCTTCTGGTTTATCTGACCTTTAGGTGGACAGAGACTGGGGAAGGGGCCTGCAAGAGAAATTGACCACACCTTTTTTGGAGGGGATTCTGTGCCAAAAACAAACAAATAGACCCTTTGTGTCCAATCTGGGCCTTAGTAGCTGCCCTAGCGTGATCTGCCTAGCAGATCACCTGATCTTCCTCCCTGGCAGGGTAGGGGTAGGGGCTCTTACTACACACAGGTGTGCCTTCCGGGCCTGCTCCTGCGGAGACACAGTTGGGGAGGTGCGGATGCTGGTTTAGATTGAATCACGTGGACTAATCTGCCAGCTGTCCTTGTAACTTGCCGGACAGCGGTGGGGAGAGATGAAGCCAGAGGGAGCAGAACGCACAAACATTTATTTACATAAGTCCCAGTTACATATGATACAGGCTTTTTACACACAGTAGTATAAACGAATTATTTTATCTATTTTTACTACCAGAAGGTAAAGAAAAAGTTTTAACTACTTAATCATTTTTCTATTTTTATACAAAGTGACGGATCATGCACATTTTTTTCAGTTTTTAAATATTTTGCTAAGTGCAAATACTAGATTCCTCTCTCCAGTTTTAAGGCAAGTAAGAGGGGGCTGTGGCTGGGGAGCCTCACGCCCTGGGGCAAGCCCTGCAGGGCAGAGAGGAGGTGCCCCAGCTGCCTCAGGGTTGCCTGTGGTCTGACCTCTGGGCACTGGAATGGACCCTGCTGGCTGATCAGAAGACCCCCAGTGCTTCTCTCCCCAGCCCTGTCACTGGTGCAGGCAGGAGCCTGAGGTCCAAGGTGGGTGTTCATGGCAGCCCTGCGACCCCCTGTGCCTGGCTTGGGGAGGATCCTCAAGAATCAGGGGCCCTCCAAGGAAAAAGGCAGCAACTCCTTCAATACCAGCCCAGTGTGACCATAAACAGCTGGAATTCCTCTAAAAAGAGATGCCCTGGGGTTTGGCCTTAGGAGAAACATCACTCTGGGCTCCCTGTTCCCTGCCAGGGTTGGGGCCAGCACCTGTCTGGGACTGTTCCTGCAGCTGCTGCCTGCTCCCTTTGTCCTGCCTGGGCCCCTCGCTGGGGCCACATGCCTGGGGTGCAGGGCAGAAGGAGCTGAAGCTCCTGGGGCCTGAGGTCACCAACACTTCAGCTGGGATGTCTGCAGCCTCCCTCTGCTCCCAGAGACCCTCCCAGGGGAAGCACAGGGAGCACGTTTAAGGTACTGAAGACAATCCTGCTGCTGCTTTGTGGAGCCCGCCTTTCCAAGGCACTATCATTCAGGCTAGTAGCAAAGTTTAGGTAGCCCAACAGGTAGGAGAGCCGGCAAGGACATAGCATTAGGTTGCCCCCAGGCCTGGCCTCCCAGCGCACCCTTACCCCATGCCCAGGTCATCAGCTGTCTTCAAAGCCTCCATCCTGGGAAAAGGCAGAAAGAATGAGTATCTTAGACCTTCTTTGAAACAGAGTTTCACTCTTGTTGCCCAGGTTGGAGTGCAATGGCGAGATCTCAGCTCACTGCAACCTCCACCTTCTAGGTTCAAGCGATTCTCCTGCCCCAGCCTCCTGAGTAGCTGGGATTATAGGCCATGTGCTACCACGCCTGGCTAATTTTGTATTTTTAGTAGAGACAGGGTTTCACCATATTGGGTGAGGCTGATCTCAAACTCCCTACCTCAGGTGATCCGCCCTTCTCGGCCTCCCAAAGTGCTGGGATTACAGGTGTGAGCCACCACGCCTGGCCCATCTTAGATCTTTTTAAATATGCTTTAGTACTTGAAATACATCTGAGAAGCCACTGACAGTGAATGATGGTGCCCTCCAGCCCCGGGGACCTTGGGTGGGGCAGCCCTGCTGCAGGATGGAGGGCTGCCCCAGAGGCTGAAGCAGCCCCACCCTAATGGCTGTCGGGGTCAGCCCTGTCTGAGGTCTGTGAACTCCAAACCTCTCGGAACCCCATGGCAACACAAGGACATGGCAGGCCAAGAAGAGGAGAAAGTGACACCTGTGGCCAGGAAGGCTTCAGGCCTCTCATCTGCCAATGGGCCAGAGTGATGCCTCAGGCACATCTGGAAACCCAGGGATGGACAGGAGGCAAGGAGAATGAGTAGGTACATGGCAGGGCTGAGCTGATGCTCAGCTGACTCCATGAGAAGGGAAGTGGCCCTCATATGGGGGGTACTGGACAGCACCGTCTACCTGCCTTCACCAAACACTTGAGAACACACAGGGGCTCATGCCAGGCAGGGGTGGCACCCAGGGTCACCTGTCCTCCTAAGGAGGCCCACTCCTCCCCCAGAAAACCATAGGGGAAAAGCTACTCATCACCCAGGGTGGCAGAAATGTCTTCCCCAGCAGTTGGGCTGCCTGGCAGGGCCACCAGGTCTGTGTCCCAGCTACCTCAAGAGGATCTTTCGATGGGCCAGCTTCAGAACCATACAGCATGCTGCAAAGGTCTAGCCTGGGTAAGGATTTATCAGCCCGACTTTCCAGAGACTGAGGAAGAGAAACGTAGATGGCAACAGAACAAAACCCATGGCACAAGATGGCTCTGCTGCTGCCTGATCTAAGTAGGCTGTAAGAAGGGAGAGGAGAGGTGCCCTCAATGCTCATTATAGTGGCACATGGGTTCTGGATGGGGGGAAGCATCTTGGCCCTTACAGCTGTGGCAGTGCCTCTGCAGGCCATGATGCCAGCCCCCACCCTGAGCAATGCTTCCCAGGCCTGTGGGCACAGCTCCCTCTGCCCAACCTGGAGCCCCTGTGAGGACCTCCAGGGAAAAGGCTCCTTGGAGCTGCCTTGCTCCCCAGGGGCTGGCTCCAAGGAGAGGCCCAGGTGTGAGCAGCAGGGGCACTGCGGCCTGCCTGGGCCTATACCATGCATGGATAAGGGGATAAGGCAGAAGGGTCACCCCTGGTGGCCTGGGGGGAGAGGAGGGGCAGTTCACGTCGCAATTCTCTCTGAACTCCACCATTTTCATCTTTATTATGGATCTGTCTGTGCTATATAAGGAAGGCTCATGTGGTTTTAATTCTGAGAGGTTTTTTTCCCTGGTGTTTGCTAGGGGAAAAAGTGAATGGAGGCAAAATATTTCCTCTTGGTTTCTTTCTGCAGGGACTGGAGTGACACAGCAGCCAGGGCCACCATGCTACCTGCCAGGATGGCAGAACTCTTCAAAGAAGGGCTTTGAGGCCCTTTTGACTCTGCCGAGTGGGAGCCAAACCAATCCCATGCAGGCCCCCCAGAGGGCCAGCAGCTGTGGCCACTGTTCCGGGAGCAGTGGCCCTTCTAGGAAAGAGGTGGGAAGAAAACCAGCCTACCCTTCAACCTGACTTAGGAAGCAATGGCACAGCCACCAGCCTTGGGGGAGGGGAGTGTTCTCCATCCCACACCCCCACCCCAAATGGGCTCTGTCCTGCTCAGTGGGGGTTCCGGGCCATTAGAAGCGATGCCGTGGCTGGGGGCCAAAGTGCATGGGCAGGTTGTGCTCCAGGGGCATGTGGACAGGACCAAAGTCATAGTTGACCCGCACATTGGGCAGCGGGGGCACGTATGGGGCTGGGATGGGTCCCATGTTGAGTGGGAAGTTGTTGAACACGGGCCGCACGGGCGGCAGGGGGAAGGGTGGGTGCACAAAGGCATAGGGTGGCATCTGTGGCTGCGGCAGGTTCTGTGGGACAGGCCTTGGGAGGGCCTCCACCCTCTGTACCTTCTCCATGGGCTTCTCCAGTGGGGGTCCGATGCGTTTGAAGGTGTTCTCTGAAAGGGAGGTGGGGTTTAGTGGAGAAAACAGATTAAACATACCTTGCTGAATCTGAATCTAGCTTGGGACTAGGCTAGCGACCTCTGGACACAGGAGGGGCTCCACAGGCTGATTAAAGCACAAAACGTGGACACCCCCCCAACACCACTATTAGAAATCAAGGACAAATCTGAATTTTCCCTCAGTGTCTTGCTCTACAGTGGCACCGTGGAAGGTGGCATGTCCACCCACCCAGCCCAGCCCAGTAAGGCATCTTTCAAGAGCCAGGGCCTTGAGGGGCTACCTCCGTTACTCAGTTACATTCTTTTTTTTGTTTGTTTCTGAGACAAGAGTCTCACTCTGTCGCCCAGAATGGAGTGCAGTGGTGTGATCTTGGCTCACTGCAACCTCCCCCCGCCGGGTTCAAGTGATTCTCCTGCCTCAGTCTCCCAAGTAGCTGGGATTACAGGGGTGTACCACCATGCCCGGCTAATTTTTGTACTTTTTTTTTTTTTTGAGACGGAGTTTCGCTCTTGTTACCCAGGCTGGAGTGCAATGGTGCGATCTCGGCTCACCGCAACCTCCGCCTCCAGGGTTCAGGCAATTCTCCTGCCCCAGCCTCCCGAGTAGCTGGGATTACAGGCACGCGCCACCACGCCCAGCTGATGTTTTGTATTTTTAGTAGAGACGGGGTTTCACCATGTTGACCAGGATGGTCTCGATCTCTTGACCTCGTGATCCACCCACCTCGGCCTCCCAAAGTGCTGGGATTACAGGCGTGAGCCACCGCGCCCGGCCCTTTTTTTTTAAAAGAATGTAGCTGGGGCCGGGCACGGTGGCTCAAACCTGTAACCCCAGCACTTTGGGAGGCCTAGGCGGGTGGATCACGAGGTCAAGAGATCGAGACCACCCTGGTCAACATGGTGAAACCCCGTCTCTACTAAAATTACAAAAAATCAGCTGGGCGTGGTGGCACGTGCCTGCAATCCCAGCTACTCGGGAGGCTGAGGCAGGAGAATTGCCTGAACCCTGGAGGCGGAGGTTGCGGTGAGCCGAGATCGCGCCATTGCACTCCAGCCTGGGTAACAAGAGCGAAACTACGTCTCAAAAAAAAAAAAAAGAAAAAAATAATAGATGGGATTTTGCCATGTTGCCCAGGCTGGTCTCAAATGATCTGCCTGCCTCTGCTTCCCAGAGTGCTGGGATTGCAGATGTGAGTCACTGCGCTCAGCCTTTTTTTGTTTTTAAAGAAAAAGAGATGGGGTCTTTCTATTTTGCCCAGGCCAGCCCCAAACTCCTGGGCTCAAGCGATCCTCCCACCTCTGTCTCCTGAGGAGCTGGGATTGCAGATGTGTGCCAACATGCCTGACTTCATTGCCTTTTAGCCTGGGAAAGGTCAGGTGGGTCTACTTTTCTTTAGCCAGGTATGGCTTGTTTGCTTCCTGAGCTCAAATCCACCCCTTGGGACTTCCTTGCCATCACGGAGATGCCAAAACTATATTCAAGGCTTTGAGGGCCTTTCCACACATCCTGAGATGTGGCTGTGTGGGTGGAGTCAAGTCTACAGCACCTGAGGGATTGCACTCCCTCCTCTCCCATGCTGGGTCGAGTGCCAGGACACCCAGGGAGGGGCACTTGCCTCCATTCTTTCTTTTCTGTTCCTCTTCAGCTTCCTTCTGGATTTCCTCAATAAGCTTCTCATCATCTTCCTAAAACGCAAGCAACAAGAAGGATGAGCCTGTAGCTCCACGCAGTGCCGAGACCCCGTGAGGGGGGACCACGGAAAAAGCCTGATGTTGGCCAGTGGAGCCTGAGCTGTACACCGTTTCTTCCCATTTCCCTGAGTGCCCCCTTCCTTCATCAGCCTGATGGTGTTCCATAAGGAGGCCATCCACAAGGCTGGGCAGAGGGGTCTGAGCATGGTAGGCAGCTGCCTGGTGGGGTGAAGGGTGGAGGGCCCCCATGTACTGGGTGGAGAAGGGTTTGAAGAGGGCTGGGTCTGAGTGGCCAGAGCCCAAAAAGTTTCAAATCCCAAGTCCACAAGCACTGGACATGGCAGCTTGTCTGCAGAGCCTGGGGAAGTCTTGCCAATATCCTCAACTGAGGTGGACAAATGTCCAGCAGGGCCCTGCCAAGACCCAAGGCTGGCCTTGATTCCTGGGCCAGGCCTTGAGGATAGGGGGAAGGCACGGCAGTGAGGACGGTCTCCCCCTGACCTTGCCGCCTCTTCTCCCAAGCTCCATGCTTGGTAGGTCTAAAATGACAAAACACAATTCTCACTTGGGTTATCCTATCCTCAGACAGGCAGATGTGGGAGCTGCACTGGGCAACTTAGGGGCTACCCTGGGCAAGCTCCAGAGGCTGGGTTTGTGTCACGTGCAGCTCCCACGTCCCCACCTGCCAGCAGACACCACGGTGGGAGGACCGGGCTGCTGTCCCAGGACAGACCAGCCACAAAGCCTGCTTCTTGAGTGGCGCTGGCATTAACCCCCTCCTCAGTGACCCACAAAGCACTGATGAGTTTGGACTAAAAGGTCTCATAAGCTCCTTCGTGGGACTGAAAGAAGACTCAGTGGATTGAAAAAACCCACCAAGTGGGTGCCCATCTTTCCTGGCTGGCTGCAGGGCTGTGGGTCTAAGCTGTAGCCCTGAGACGGCTGAGGCTCACAAGCAACAGAGTGGGAACACTGTGGCAAACTCCAAACACACCAACTGCCGGCTCAGCCCATGGGAAAGAGAGAGCTAAGTATAGGAGGGGCTCTGTTCCCTGGGGTCCTCCAGGAGGTAAGGGCAGCCGAGCTGGGGAGAAGGATGGGAAGGGATGGTGGTCCCTGATATCATGAGGGAATTAGCAAGTCCCAAGAACACAAGCAGTCTAATGAAAGTACATTTATTTTTCCAGACACAGCTTCAGAGTCTAACCATCTGGCCAATTTCTTTGCTTTGGGATGGAACATTAATGATAACTTCAGATTTTTCATGCTGATCTGAAGACACCCAGAGCAGCAACTGGAAGGAACACAATCCTTGGCCCGGTAGAAGATGGGCAGCCCCATTGAGGGCTGAGCAATGGAGTTTGCAGATTTACTTACTAGGTTATTAATGTCACAGCCAAGACAGAAATGAGTGGTTTCCCCCACGATTGTTTGTGAACCTCAAGGATTCTGGAGTCAGGAATTTCCTTCACTAAACGTGCACTAAATGCCTACTCTGTGCTTGACACTGTTCTAAGTTTACTGATTAAACTTCAGAGCAACAATGAAACAGAAAGGCAGATGGAATGAGTAAGTAATTAGGTAACACATTCCCTTGGTTTGGTAGATGAAAGATTCTTAGAATAGAGCCCCCTGAGACTGGCTCTGTCAGCAACAGTGGACAACACGATTCAATTCTCCTACATTCTCCAGGCCTTAGATGCCAAGCAGTAAGTTTGAACTAAAAGGTCTCATAAGCTAATTTCCAACTCTGACACTTGGACATTCTTATCAGATAAGATACTCAAGTCTGTTTTCGGCAGAAGCAGCCTCCCCCAGACAGGTGTTCTGAGCAAGGCATGGGGAGAGGAGAGGAGACACAGGTCAAGTTCCCGTCATGCATTTCAAGAGTTGCAAAGTGCCCAAACACACCATAGAATCCTGTATCTGGGATGAATCCTGAGGGAGCTATGTCTCTCTCCTGGGTAACACATAAGAATTCTCTATAAAAACCCCAAGACGCGGTCGTCTAGCCTCTTTGTGAACACTCCACAAGGGAAAACTTACTACCCTTGACATAATCACTAAGGGAGTCAACACTGATGGCTCCAGGAACTCAAGAGGGTTTGGTGGGCAGTTTGAAGCCTCCATGTGAATATCAAGATAGATTCTATCAACTGTCTAGACTGGGAGTTGGCAAGCCTCTTCATTTTGGAGCCAGTGGCAGGCCTAGGAAAAAAGATGAAAAAAAAAAAAGAAAAAAAAACAAGGCTGGGTGAAGGTGGCTCATGCCTGTAATCCCAGTACTTTGGGAGGCTGAGGTGGGTGGATCACTTGAGGTTGGAAGTTTGAGATCTATCTCTACTAAAAACAAAAAATTAGCCGGGCGTGGTGGCACATGCCTGTAATCCCAGCTACTTGGGAGGCAGAGGCAGGAGAATCGCTTGAACCTGGGAGGCAGAGGTTGTGGTAAGCTGAGATCCTGCCATTGCACCCCAGCCTGGACAAGAGTGAAACACAGTCTCGAAACAAACAACAAAACCCCCAACAATTAAGGGAAGTGATCCAGAAAACTGGTGGGAGGATCTCTTGAGCCCAGGAGTTTGAGACCAGCCTGGGCAACAAAGTTAAGATCCCATCTCTACAAAAAACACAAAAATTAGCCAGGCATGGTGGTGTGAGCCTGTAGTCCTAGCTATTTGGGAGTGACTGTGCCACTGCACTCTCACCTGGGCCACAGAGTAAGAACCTGCGTCCAAAGAAAAGAAAAAGAGCTGTGGGCCTATACCTCTAAGTGAGCTTGGCAGGTTCCTGAGTATCTCTGCATCTAGGCAGCTCATCCATAAATGGGCTGCTTTGTTAAGGATTGAATGATACCAAGTATGTAAGGGACATAGCCCAAAGTAAACATTCATTATTAGGAGACAGGAAAACTGTGAAAAATTGCAGGTATAGAGTTTTTTTTTTTGAGACAGTCTCACTCCGTCACCAGGCGCCAGGTTGGAGTGCAGTGGTACCACCTTGGCTCATTGCAACCTCCACCTCCTGGGTTCAAGCAATTCTCCTGCCTCAGCCTCCCGAGTAGCTGGGACTACAGGCGTGTGCCACCACGCCCAGCTAATTTTTTTGTGTTTTTAGTAAGACAGGGTTTCATCATATTGGCCAGGATGGTCTTGATCTCTTGACCACGTGATCTGCCCGCTTCGGCCTCCCAAAGTGCTGGGATTACAGGCGTGAGCCACTGCGCCCGGCTGGTATAGAGTTTTTAAGTTGAGAAGTTTCATGAAGAAGTGGTACACATTGGGAAACACCCACAGTGTTTCTTTCAGGGGTCCTGACTCTGGTCCGTTACTAATCACAACCAACAGGAGTGCACCACTACCACTCCGCCTCACCCCGACCTCTGTTGCATTCTCTCGATGCAGTTACGCCATCAGGCCCAGAGGGACACTTAAGGCCTTCAATGGCACAAGGAGGTACCTTAGGAATCATTTATTCCAACCTATGTATCACAGAAACTGAGGTCCCTGGGAAAGTACCTTGTTCAATGTTATGGCTAGCTGGCGGTGAACTGGGACAAATGCACATACTGGACCACTCAATGGTCCTCCTGGAAGAAATCCACAGAAAAGATATCCTGAAGGCATCCCTTCCTTATACAGAGCACCCACACCAGTCAGGACCATGCTGGACGCTGTAGACACAGTGAGAAGTGTGGCAGCCCAGGCCCTCCTCATGAGGGCCTCACATCTGTGCTATGAGCACCATTCTAGCTGGCACCCCTCTCTGGAATTCCACGTGGGTAGAAGGGGTAATTTCACAGCATTAAAGACTAACCGCTAACCCCCTCTTTTCCTCAGGCTCACCCCTGACATTTCTGTCAGGATAAACAAAACAAGAGGGAAAAGAGAGGCTCTCCTTTTGGGGCAAAGAGTCCTGGCCCCTTGTGGAACTGCTGAGGCTGAGAGCATGCAGGCCACCGCCAGATTTTTATCACTAAGCTTCCCGTGATACGTCTGAGCGCTCCTGAATAAATCCTATTTCAGAACTACCTCAGGAGGGTCTGAGGCACCTGCGCAGGAGCGTGAGCCCAGGTTTCTGATACAGATTGGCTGGGTCTGGAGGACAGTGCAGAAAGAACCTTCCCAGCCTGCCACTCACAGTTCTTACTGGAGAGAAAGAGGGAGCCTCAGAGTCCCAAGGAAATGAAAGTGTCGCGTCCTTACCCTCCAAAGACAGTCACCCAGGAGCTTTTCTTCCGATCCCTCCCTCTGCTCTGATCACTCTCCTGATTGGCAAGTGGAATCAAGACCGTTTGTCCTTGTAAGCCCTGTCTTGGGAGTCAAGCCCTTGGAGTCTAAAGACAGTCTGGTTTGCATTTCACCCAAAATGGTGGCACTCAGCTATGATGACCTATGATTTTACCATAAATCATGAGCCAACTCACAGTTATACCTACAATATGGGTTAGATGTTTCAGATGTCAACTGTCTCCAACTGGCTGGAGTCACAGGGCACTGCTTAGAAACTTTAATAAAAATTCAAGGTGGAAAAACAAAAAAACAAAAAAAAAAAATTCAATTTTTTTAAAAAAAAAATTACAATTTTAGCTAGTATGTTAGACTCTAAGGTGAAGCTTTCTTTCCTTTTTTTTTTTTTTTTTTTTTTTTTTTTTTTGGGGGATTTTAGACTGGTTTGCAGGCAATGGCGGCATTTGCGCTCCTCCCCCCCTTCCC